TGTTATAATAAACAGTATTATAACATTTACCGGCCTGAAAATCCGAGAAATGTTCATAGAAAATATTCGTCCTTCAACAAGAATCGAACCTGTATCCTATATGGAACCATCATTTAGACTGACGGCCCTTAATCGATCGACCAACGGAGGATCGTTAATTAGCAAGGTCGATTTCACTGTTTTTAAACTTCAATTTTCCTCCGTGGTTCGATTGGTTAAGGCACGTCAGGCTAATTGACGGTTCCGTATAGAATACAGGTTCGATTCCTCTCGAAAGACGAACATTTTCTATGAAAATTTCTCGGACATTCAGGCCAGTAAATGTTGTTAATGCTGTTTATTACAAAACAGAGCATTTACTTAAATATTTATATCTATAAAAAGAATTTATAAACATAAAAATGTCTTAATATATATATATATATATGTGTGTGTGTGTGTGTGTGTGAAGATGAAAAAAACTGGAAGACTTTTCATCAAAGACATGTTTTGCCGATGAAAAGCTAATCTTATGTTCTCATTGGCGTCATCAGTTCAACTAATATAACAAAACTATGTGTTAGAAGAGTGTTTTGTGAGACTCTGAGGATAGGTTGGTTGTCGTAAATCACATTTATTACTCTGGTATATCATGTACATGTCCTGGCTTGACATTTGAAGAATGTTTCCATGACTCTGTGCTTTTTTGTTTTATCTATATCTGATTGTATACACATATATACCTGCATATACATACAACCATACATACACACACTCATAATTACATACATACACCCACACGGTATATACATACCTTCTTACATAGGTGTGCTTACATATACATCCACCCAAGTCTGTATAAATGTTGGAGACCATTTTTATTTTTCATATACATGGTCATCGTTACATTCCTGTGCACACATGCTTTTCCCCATTTCGTCTCATCGTCTTCGCTTTTGTTTCAGATATTATTATACATTCTACGTGCACACACACACACACACACGCATACAAACACAAACACACACACACGAGTTCATTACATTCCTTTACACCGAAATATCCCCGAGAAATGAATGAATCCATATGTTTTCCCCAAACTATAGATTAAATAGTAGGGAAGACTGGACTGTCTAGACTTAGTTGGAACCCAGTGCAGAAAAGGGGCAACTGTGACTTCAAAACTGTAACCTATGTTTAACTTCACCTATTAAACTAGATAAATGGGATTTATTTCTATTAAATCATTTTTTTTCTGTTTTCTAAGCATATTTAGTTATTATGCATCTGTGTACTGTTAATTATATGAAAAGTTTTTCTTTCCTTTTTTTTTTAAATTTATTTTAGGTTTTTAATTTAATTTAGGTCAGCGATTCAGTAATGAATTGTTCATCGGAAAATAATTCATATTGATCTGTATCTCACTCATTTAAACCGTCATTTAACTCCTCTCTTTAAAACTTCTTTCTGTTAAATTTAATCCCCACCTTCACTTTTAGCCCTTCCGGTTCTTCTCTCGTCTGTTACCCGCCTCTAGAAATTTCTTTTGCCTCACACATTTTATTATATATATATATATATATATATATATATATATATATATATATATATATATATAAGGCATGTCTGATTCTATAAATTTTTGACATTATGTCTGATAATTTTTAACAAAATACCTCCATACACACGGATAACTTTCGGTGTATTGATATTAAAGGGTGAGAGAAATGTGTTGTAATTGTTTAAAATTTCTTTTATTTTCCTTTCCCAAGTACTTTCGAACTTCTTCCTAGAACATCTTCAGGGATGCAATTGGTAGAAAATTATATGTTGTTCAGGGCTACAAGTATTTATACAAAGTTATGCTCTGCTATCCATTTCCGTGATTTTTCATTATGCTTTTAAATGCTAACGGTCGACAATGTGCTGAGCGTTCATTAGAACGTGCAAAATTTATTCATTATATATATATATATATATATATATATATATATATATATAATATTAGTGATCAATATGTATATATATATAGATATAGATAGATAGATAAATAGATAATATTAGTGGTTAATATATATATATATATATATATATATATATATATATATATATATATACATGTATATATAGATAATAGATAGATAATAGATAATAGTGGTCAATATATATATATATATATATATATATATATATGCATGTTTCATTGAATAATATAAATAAGTTAGTTTTGCCTATTTCTTTTAAGTAAGTTCCTGTCATATTGTCTGATAAGCTTAATCACATTATCGTTGAAGGGCGAAAGGAAAACACCTTATTGATACATGTTTAAATCCAATCTAAGCTTTCGGCTTGCACAAGCCATTATTAAAGATGACAATTTCAATAAATCAAACAACACACGGACGAAACAACAATGATAGTCTGCCTTTGCTGCACGAAAATATCCAAGTAACGACAAATTCGTATATACGAGACGCGGAAGTGAAAATCGCATCGCAGCTCGTGACGTCGCACATGACCACGCGAGAGTGAAAAACGAGAAGTATTAAATTATTGGATGCCGTTGGTATAAGCCAATGACTTCTGTTATAAATTATAGTCATTTAAGGATATTTGTGGACATTTTATAATTTATTTTGTTCAGGTTAGGTTTCAAATCTTTTATGTATATAGCTTCAAGAATTTTTAATTTTTGTTTATTGTTTTCATGTTTAAGTATAGTTGTGTTTTCAACAAGGATTTTCCGGAATTGAGTACGCGGCCAGGCATGCTGTTTTAAATGTCTATATATATATATATATATATATATATATATATATATATATATATATATATTGAACAATAAGAAAATAAAAAATTAAAATCATTAGACACACTGGGTTGTAGATTAATATTCTTTCGTTTTTTTATTATTATTATTCCATTTAGATTCCTCTCTCTCTCTCTCTCTCTCTCTATATATATATATATATATATATATATATATATAAACCCATACAGTGGTAAAATGCAATCAGGATTTTTGCTATAAACGCATTCACAGTTGTCATTTATGGTTTATGGAAAGGCGTCATAATGGCTGCTGTGTTGATGATGATGTTGATAATATTGTTGTTGATAATAATGATGATGATGATGATGATATACAGACGTAAATCAATGAATTGAAGTTGACTTTCAAATATAAATCTCTTTACGTAGATTTAAAAACTGTTTGTACTCACAAAGACAAAAAAAATAGATTTTTAATCAGTAAAGTAAACAAACGTTGACCTCTACTCTAAACAATTCAAAAATGCTTTTCATCGAGGAATCAAATAAAAACAGGAAGAAAAAGAAAGAAAGCAAGGAACAGAAATATTCTTCAAGCAATTAAAAATACTTTATTTGGTAAACTCATACATGTCGCTTTTGAAATGTTAAAATAAACTTCCCTCTTTTGCCTCGAGGCAGTCGTTTTTTATAACCAATTGCTAGAACAGTTTTAATTTTAAATGTTTTTAATATTCGATATATCTTTTATTGTGCCATTATTAATTCTTTTATCTTACGGTATTATCCATTGTGCTCGTAGAAAAAACGAATGAAAAACACTCTTTAAGGTCCGATATTTCAATGACAACACCATTTTCTGTATCATTTCAGCAAATAAGGAAACAAATCCACGAAGACGCAGGTGAGTTAATGAGTGTAAAAGAATACAAAAAAAAAGAAAAGATATTATTAAGGAGACAAAACAAATGTAAGAGAAAATACGATTGATGTTGGATATACATTGCTGTTCGATAAAAGTGAATCACCTGATTTTTTTTTACTAAATGTTCTCTTCGACGAAACTAAAGTTGAGCTTAATTAAAAGGATAAGCGATCTAAAATCCGAAGAAGAAGCTTTGAAAGCTCTTTGAATTTAGCAGTAAGTACTGTCAAGCATCCGTTCAGTATAGTGGTCTGGGGATGGTTTTCTTTTCATGGAACTGGTTTCTTAAAACCTATTGAACAGACCCTCAGGAACGAGCAGTACAAGAGAATTTTAGAGTCTTGTCTGCTCCCTTCTGCTGAAAGGGTGCAAATCGACCCCACCAAGCTCATTTTTATGCAGGATAATGCTCCCTGTCACAAATAAAAATTAATGAAGGAATACTTTGATGAGAAGCAGGTGAGTGTTATGACACGGCCGCCCCAATCTCCTGACCTCAACCCCATAGAAAACTTATGGAGCATGTTGCTCAACTGCTTCCTCGAGAGCCTGTACTTTATAATGCTCCATAAGTATGGATGTTACAGGTTTCTTGCAGTTTTCTTACCGTAAAAGTTGCATATTTTCCAATGCAGATATTGGCCCATTCTATCATACCAAGTTTTATATTCAGTCGGTGCTAACACTGTGCAACCTGATACAAAATGGTCAGTTGTTTCTGGGTAATTGTCACAGAACCTGCATTTGGGGGTCAATACAATTTTTCAGTATATGTGATTAGTCATTTCTAGCTAGCAAGTCCATTGCAGCAAGAATAAAAACTTCGGTTTCAACGTTTTACCGTGCACAACGTAACCATGGATGGGAAGTGTTTTTATTATTATTATTATTATTATTATTATTATTATTATTATTATCAATACTGTATTTATATTAACCGGTCGAGTCTCTGTCAAGTTTCAAGTGAAATGTGTTCTCTTCTTGTCTTTCAGGATATTTTTTCAAATGCAAACATGTCTCCACTCTTTGTGACTATTGGACATCTGTTTTGTTACCATGACAACCGAAATGAGTATTTTTTGTGACTTTTTATTTGAACTGGCTAATATTTTAATGGAGTATAATATACTGACATCTGCTTCCGGTGTAAGTATGCTCTCGCTGGATGTTTCCGGATATGCGCAGTTGCGCTTGACTGATAAACATGAAAGGATGATATTTATTTATTATTAAACAGCATTGCGATTGGTGAGTTCGATGTTTTGATGAAGGAAAAGAAATCGAGTGAATGAGAAAGCAAGAAAGAGAGAGAAAAAAACATTGCTTAAAAGAAGTCAGGTAAGAAGAAGAAGAAGAAGAAGAAGAAGAAGAAGAAGAAGAAGAAGGATAAAGGAGAGTTAAAGAAAGAAGAATAAATGAATGAAAGAAAGAAAACAAATGAAAGAGAGAAAATTAAAATAAAAGAAGAAAGAATGAAAGAAGGGAAGAAAGGTAGGACTGAAAAGAAAATGAGAAGGGTCAAAAAGAAAGAAAGAAAAACAGGGCACTATAAATAGAAGAAAAAGAAAACGACATAATAAAAAGGAAACAAACAAACAACGTAGAAAGGATTTGAATGACAAAGAAAGAAAGAAAGAAAGAAAGAAAGAAAGAAAGAAAGAAAAAACTGAAAATAGAGCAAATCGAAAGTATCAAGATGAAAATGAAAGAAAAAAGGTAGAGGAGGATAAAAAAAACTGATTGGTTTGTTTTTACGTTTTATCAACCCTTTGCCGATTATTTAAAGCCAGAAAACATTTTTAGGTTGTAACAATTGTTTAAGATAATATTGATTTTCTGATACAAGTCCTGCTAATTTAACCATAACTGAGTGAGGGAGAAGTGGGTTCATGCCTTTCCCATGGGTATTTGCGCGTAAGTAATATAACAAACCTGATTGGAACTGAAACTCGTCTCTCCGATTTCTAATTCCGAGCCCTTATCCATTGCACCACCCGCACATCCGAGCTTACACCATCTAGCATTTCCAAGCGGCAACCCATCGGGGTACTGGCCAGGCTCGACGTTGTTTAACTTCAGGGATCGTACGAGATCCGGTGTTTCAACGTAGCGTGGTCCTCAGCCCAAGAAAGAAAGAATGACAAAGAAATAAAGAAAGAAAAAAGAAAGAAAGAAAGAAAGAAAGAAAAAAAAAAAAATAAAAGAAAGAAAAACAGAAATAAAGAAAAATAAAAGAAAGAAAGAAAAGCAGAAATAAATAAAGTAAGAAAGAAAGAAAGGAAAATAAAAGAAAGAAAAGCAGAAAGAAAGAAAAATAAAAGAAAGAAAGAAAAGCAGAAAGAAAGAAAAAAAAAAGAAAAGAAAAGAAAGAAAAGCAGAAAGAAAGAAAGAAAAGCAAAGAAGAAAGAAGAAAAGAAAGAAAGAAAAGAAAAGAAAGAAAGAAAGAAAGAAAAATAAAAGAAAAAAGAAAGAAAAGCAGAAAGAAAGAAAGAAAGAAAGAAAGAAAGAAAAGCAGAAAGAAAGAAAAGCAGAAAGAAAGAAAGAAAAGCAGAAAGAAAGAAGGAAAGAAAGAAAAGCAGAAAAAAGAAAGAAAGAAAGAAAGAAAGAAAGAAAAATAAAAGAAAAACGAAAGAAAAGCAGAAATAAATAAAGAAAGAAAGAAAGAAAGAAAAATAAAAGAAAGAAAAGCAGAAAGAAAGGAAAATAAAAGAAAGAATGAAAAGCAGAAAGAAAGAAAGAAAGAAAAACAAGAAGTAAATAAAGAAGTGAAGAAAAAAGAAAGAATGAAGTAAATAAATAAAGAAAAAAGAAAGAAAGAAAGAAAGAAAGAAAGAAATGAGCTGTGTAAGTTGTTGATGTTCCTCTGATTCTGTGGAGTACTTCGGGTTTTCGTAAGAACCACCAAAATGAAATGAATCTCATTTGACTGATTTGATATACAAAGATCTTGTTACAAACTTTTTGCACCTCTTTGAGTTCTCAAGTCGCGATGATTTGTTCCAGTCAAATAACTCAACCATACGTGTATAGATGACATGAAACGGGTTCCAAAAACAGTCAGTTGACTATCAGGTTCTCCCCTGACTCCTCTACCCGCCAATTTTAAATGCCATTGAACTGATGCAAGACAAGCTAAGGAGCTTCTATAAATCGCCTACAGCCAAATCTAACAAATACAATCTTAATTCGGATTGCTATCTCGATAGATAAACCAAATAAACAACTGCAGCACCTTTCGCAATTTCAACATAACGTCGCCTCCTTAGGTAATTGTCTCAAAGATTTTAGTATTTTAAACTTTATTTCAGTTTTCTGACATGTGCCAGATTTATTATACCATCTTTTTTTTTACATATATTCATTTTTTTCTGATGTTCTACAAATGATCTCAAAGAATAATTTTTCGTAACATATTTTTGCTTCTTGGCAATTCTGACCATCTTGTGAAACTGTTGTCTAACGTTGTTGGAATTTGATTTCAGATATAGACCTCCACCCTTTGAGATGGAGTGCCAAGTAGACAGACAAGAATGACCATATTCGACATTTTCTCTTGGACAGGTTCAAAGAGGCAATTCAGCTGAAAAAAAAACCTGACCAGCGATATAGTGTGATTAGTCAACATGACAATGTTCTCCTCTACCAACGTCGCTAACATAACCAAACATGCAATTTAAGAGCTCGGTTGGGAACTTCTGCCATATCCACCATATTCTCCTGATTTAGCCACTTCAGAGTACCACCTTTTTTTTTATTCGCTTTCTAAATATTGGGGGATGTTTAAAAAATGGCATCATTAATATTTTGTGTCAAAACCTAGTGTAATTTCTATCATCAAGACATTGAACAATTTGTGAATCGTTGGTCGTAAACAATGAAAGTGAATATATTGTTAAGGGATTCGTTAGAACGATACCTAAATAATAAGTATTATACAGGTAACATGAACAAACAGGTAATTAATGAGCTCGGTTGTGAACTTCTGCCACAACCACGATATTCTCTTGATTTAGCCCCTTCAGACTACCATACTTTTCGGTCGTTTTCTATCAAATTGATAAGTGTTTCGTTCAACAACGATGTGGAGACTAAAACGGGTCTTGACGAATTTTTACAGTGATTTTTTTTGCAGAGGGCAGTCGGCAGGAGGAGAAAGACATTGTTGGACGATCCATCAGAACTATTAATAAATAATAAATATTAAGATAAATTATACAAATCGAACGAATTTATTTAACAATCTAATATATAAGATGCTCCCTCAATTTGAGTTGCAGATTTTTCAACAAGTATGTAGAGCTTAAGACGTGGCTTGATGAATATTTTGAGTCAAAATAGCTTGTGATTTGTATCGTCGAGGCATTGAACAGTTAGTGGATCGTTGGCAGGAGGTCGTAAGCAATGATGGGGAAGACATTGGTGAGTGATTCATCGGAACTATTAATAAATAATAACTATTAAAATAAATTATAATAAACGAATTTATGGAACAACCTAATAATTATAGGCAATGTAAATATCTACAAAATGACAAAAGAGCTTGGTTGGGAACTACAATATCTCTCGATTTAGACCCCCCCCCCATCCTACAAAATTATTAATCGCTTTCTAACAATTTGAGGTGTGTTTGGTTCAACAATGATGTGGAACTTAAAATGTTTCTACCGTCCATTGAACAGAGAATCGTTGTCCTTCATTGTTGAGTGACTCAAATTGTTGATTCAGAATTCATTGTTGAGTGACGAATACATTTTGAGTGATTCATCAGAATTCATTGTTGAGTTATTAGAATTTCTAACAATTTGTTAATCGCTTGTTGAGTGACTCAACAATTTGGTTCAACAATGATGTGGAACTTAAAATGTTTCTACCGTCGAAACATTGAACAGAGAATCGTTGTCAGACGGTCGTAAACAAGGCAGCAGAATACATTGTTGAGTGACTCATCAGAATTCATTGTTGAGTGACTCATTAGAATACATTGTTGAGTGACTCATCAGAATTCATTATTGAGTGACTCATTAGAATACATTTTTGAGTGACTCATCAGAATTCATTGTTGAGTGACTCATTAGAATACATTGTTGAGTGACTCATCAGAATTCATTGTTGAGTGACTCATTAGAATACATTGTTGAGTGACTCATTAGAATACATTGTTGAGTGACTCATCAGAATTCATTGTTGAGTGACTCATTAGAATACATTGTTGAGTGACTCATCAGAATTCATTGTTGAGTGACTCATCAGAATTCATTGTTGAGTGACTCATTAGAATACATTGTTGAGTGACTCATCAGAATTCATTGTTGAGTGTCTCATTAGAATACATTGTTGAGTGACTCATCAGAATTCATTGTTGAGTGACTCATTAGAATTCATTGTTGAGTGACTCATTAGAATACATTGTTGAGTGACTCATTAGAATACATTGTTGAGTGACACTTCTATTGTAGAGTAGTTTTCACAGCGGAGGCTTGTATTTTTCACTAAGTCAGTCCTAAAAGGGTTCGACGTACAAAACGTTAGGAACTTAAAATAATCGTGAATGACGCAGCAATCTAGTTGTGGTGGTTGATACTTTAATGTCCGACATCGACTGACTGACCAACTCACTCTGAGCTCCCTGGCAACTGCTACTACTACTACTTGTTATATGTGGGAGAGTCTATAAACAATAGAATAGGTATGTTCCAGTATAACAACATCAGAATTCATTGTTGATTGACTCATCAGAACTATTATTAAATAATAAGCATTAAAACAAGTTATTAAAAAACGAACGGATTTATGGTAATTTTCTAAGAATAGCTTAGAAGTGGCACAAGGCGGAAAGTATGTGGCATCCAATGCGAATCAAACTGACTCTTCTGTCGTAATTGATCTCGCGAGACAAGCTTGTTAACCATTACGTCGAAGTGCCCAATGGTGATTTTCTAAACGTAGCTTTTTGGATGTGGCACAAGGTCGAAAATACGGGGCAACAGTGAAAATCGTACTCATTGTTCAGTCCTAATTGACCTAGAGAGACACGCTTGTTAACCATTACACCACGCCGAAGTGCCGAAACGAACGGATTTATGTAACAATCTAATATACATGTTATACTATGTTACTCTACGTTACTGGTAACATGTAACTCAGTACAAATTGGCAAATGATCGAGTAATCGGTGGCTAAACCGGTTCCCCCACCAGGGTTTTCTAGTGAGGAGAGTGGCTACTCATTCAGCAAGATTAAAATCGGAACGTTGAAAGGGAGTATGAACCTTATTGTAGGGTCAATTGTTATCTAGAACAATAGGGCATTCTATAGCTATGGATACAGCCACTGTGGAGATGACACGACATTGTTAGGCTGAGCGCTTTCTACACTGATCAGCAGCTAAGGTGGAAAGGTCTCTCGATGGCATTAATTGACACGTTTCCGTGACCAAGACGTGCTTTCAATTTGGCGAACATCGAATGGAATTTGATCTAAAGAGGGTTGTCCTCCATTAAGACTTTTCATACAAATTTCAGATTGTCGCGGGAGTATGGTTGTCATATAACAGACTTATTTTTTTTGCACAAGGTCACGAATATGAGTGTCTGATTCTCCAAGCCTACTTTCCTCATTTATGCAATCCAGAAATTTCAACATTTTCTTTATAATGCTAGGTAAGTTTCCTTTTCTTTTTCTTTTGCCTTGAAACTTCGTCATTATTGATATATTTAGTTCATTTTATTCTCATCATCGTCCTGAAGAAACACATTTCTCTTGCCTCATCTCCCCACCACATATGAAGAAATTGTCCAGTATTCATCGCGAAAGAGGAGGACTGACATTACATAGCAGATCGGATCTCTTTTCCTTGTTTCTAATGAATTTTTCCTATTTCTTAATACTTTGTTTAGTTTTTAAAAGGCATCTTTTTGCTATTTCAAAGCGTCACATTTTCTTACAATTTATAGTTAATCCTATTTTCCGGTTACCATTTACCATTTCCTCTGGGAGTTCCTGCAGTTTTTTTCCTGCGTCTACCATATACACAGTGCCCTTTGCTTATCTCATGATATTAAGAATGTGTTCACTAATAATACATCCTTGTAGAACAAGTAATATTTAAAAGCAAGTATTTTTAAAGAAAGGAAAATTGAATCCAAGTGATAATTTCTGGAAATGATTTAATACTGGATTGGTTGATGTGTTTTTTACGGGTTATCAACCTTTTGTGGATTGTTTAAAGCAGAAACATATTCTTGGATTATAAACAAATTTCTTTCTTTTTTTTTTGCTTTAACAAGTTTTTGAGAATGACAATATTTTTTCAGATACAAGTTCTACTTTTTAACCTATATCAGGGGGATAAGATGAATTCATACTGTTCCCAGTTGTATTTACACTTAACTGGATGTAACGAACTTGACTTTCCGTTTATTTATTACGAACAACTATCCATTATGCCCCCCCCCCCCTATATTATAATCGAAAATTCTTATATAGCGAGCTGTTTGTGAAAGATTAATTCATCGGAATTAGCAACCAGTGCTACTTGAGATACGCTTTTGTTCACTCCCTGGCCGTCGGGCTGGGATTAAAGTGTAGTATGTGTTCTCATTTCTAATGCTACTGGTAATATTAGAAGTTTCCTAACATGAAAATTCGCCTATCATTGACCGAACAGCCAGTGCTACACGAGGTACGCTTTTGGGATTAAAGTGTCGGGCTGGGATTACGTTGAGCTTCTGAGGATATTGACACTGAATAGAAGAGGGTGATATGTTTTATGACTTTCAGTCTGTTTTTATACTTCATTCTGATGATTACCCACATCAAATTTATTATTTTTCACCACAACAACGCTCCTATCCTGTTGAAAGCTGAAAAAGGAAATGGCGAGTGGGATATGACATTCTTCTTTTTCTTCTTCTTCTTCTTCTTCTTCTTCTTATTATTATTATTATTATTATTATTATTATCTTTTTCTTGTTGTTGTTGTTTTTCTTCTTGTTTTTTTTTCTTAAGACACTTTTACCGACTTTTTTATTCTTTTATATATATTGCCCATCAAACTCATAAATAATCCAAATCGCCTTTTTTTTATTGTCATCAATGCCATTATTAATAAAGAAGACAAAAAGAAAATGAAATATATAATCTCAATTTTTTCCTCTCGTTTCAATCATTTCCAATTTTCTGCTCGATATTTTTTCTAAAGAATGAATAATACAAAATGGCCGCTCGTCTGCTTGAACGTATTTACATCGAAAAGGTCATCAAAGCGACGCATCAAAGTCTGTTGAGTTTCTCAGCGAAACCGTCAGTGAAATGCTTATATTAAATATAAATCCTGGATAACTCATTTATCCATAAATTCTTCGAGAATTAGACGCTAAGCAATCTTAGAAAAACAAAACTTTATTAGTTTATATGCCATACGTAGGAGGGCTGAAAAGTTTATAGACTGACTATAAAGGAGTGATGCTAGAGCTGTGAAATCTCGCCTCCATTAATTTTCATTCTTCTTATTCATAACTGCATTGTTTCTTTCCAGCTAAAAAGGCATCTGATTGTTCAAAGAAGACCGTTCATCCTGTTGGTCAAAAAAGCCATCAACAGCAGTTATGGCATCATCATCACTGCGATAATGGTTCCTGGCCAAGTGTCTTTTCATGTTGGGGAACAGATGATAGTAAAATCAGGAGAATATGGAGACTCATCAACCAGTTCCGAACTACAGTCACACCCAACAGATATTGTGCTGGCGTGTTTTCCTGATGAAATAAGAATCATTTTGTCAGTTTTCCTGGGTTTTCAGTTGTTGTGACCAAGTAAATGGTTAAGTACACCGGAAGAGTATTATACGACTAATGAGAGTGTATCGAATGAATTAGTGCTCAATCTATTCACAGATCACTGTTTACTGTGATTATAGAAGCACCCTCTCGGGAGTCCATTCTACATTGCAATAGTTTTGGGAAAGAATCTATCTGATTACTGCTCACCAATGTAATGTTACGCCAAGTATGGATCGAGTGTGTATAGGTGGCATGATGGGTGAAGATGCTGTAAAGATCTGGACTGGTGGAACTAAAGAATGTACAAGAGTGGGTTGAAAATAGGTTAACTATAAAGGAGGATGCTAGAACTGTGAAACATTGCATGCAATAATTTCAAATCTTCTTATTAATAACTGCATTGTTTTTTTCCACGTAAATTGACATCTGATTGTTCAAAGAAGACCGTTTATCCTGTTGGTCAAAAAAACCATCAACAGCAGATATGGCATCATCATCACTGCGATAGTAGTTCCAGGCCAAGTGTCTTTTCATGTTGGGGAACAGATGATTTTTTTTTAATATATATCCCGTTACCGGTAAGTCGTAGGGGCACCATGTGTACTGCAGTCACAGTAGAAGTATTGTTTCTTGGACATAATAGCCTGACGGAGCCCAACTCTCTCCAGGCCGGTTTTGAATTCAGGGATTTTCTTCTCCTAGACTGGTTGCCAGCCATTGTTATAGATTTCAGTCTGCCCTATCGGGTGGGAGAGGAAGAGGATTCATACCTTTCCCAAGGATATTATCACGTAAATAAATTTCTAGAAGCGATTACACTTTACGCCAACGTGCCTCCCCAGTTGATAGATACATGGGGCCAAACCAGAAGACTAGAGAAGGCGATGAATCAGTTCAAAGCTACAATTACGCACTGCAGCCATTGAAAGTAAGGACTGGTTGTGGGACATTATCTTAATGAAACAAGACCCCTGCCATCAGTTCTCTGGGGTGTTTGGTCTTGATAGCCTTCTGTACTATACAAACTTGCCTCGGCAATTGTGGCACTTTTGAAGATAGTCAATAAACACAATGCCTTTTAGATAAAAAAAAAAAACAACAACTGAGGCCAACACGTTCTCTGCAGATGAAACGTCGATGGGTTTCTTTGGAGAAGGTGAGGAGGGGTACTTTTACTGCATGGATTGTCTCTCTGTCTCTGGCTCAAAGTGATGAACTGTTACGTGTTGATAATTTTAACAAAGGAAAAAAAAATTTACAAACACAGAGCTAAATCACAAACAAATATTTAATTTACTAAGACACAACATAAAATATATATACAAAAACAAAATAAACAATTGTGGCCTACAAAATAGAAAACACAGAGTTACTGGCGAAGTGTTACGAGGGAGAAGGAAAGGGAATCAAATATCTTTTATCACTTTAGGGCAAGTGAAGTAATCTAAATGCTATATTTTGGAAATCCACAAAAGTGTGTAAATAAATATTAATTTTTAGTTTGGTCAATGAAAATTAGTCAAAATTCTATTTACCAAATTTGTTCCATGAAATTCTCTTTTGGGTTTTTGTTGGTCGGCAACTTTTTATAGAGATTCTTTTGGCTGGATATAATAGTCCTTGAATCAAAAGCCGGAGTTGATAACAGCAGAAATTCTCATTCAACAACTGACAACCCTTTTCCAAAATCCCATTTTGATAGGGGCTGACACCTAATTTGTATATTTCTAGATGTTTCTCGAATCATCTAGATTCTTCTCGAATATACTGGAATGATCTAGAATCTTCCAAACGTTCTATTTCAAATTTCTCTATTTTATATTTACTTCATGAAAGAAAACATTTTTTTTGTATTAACAAGTAGGACTCAGTAGAATCCCTTACAATAAATTTTAACCTTATTGGGACTTTCTTATTATAGAAATGTATCCTCGTAACATGAACCCAAAGCTCATCCTGGGCTAGGAAACTTTCTAGGAAAATAACTGGATCTGCCTCAAAAAATGTCAGGTTTTCCCAGAATGTGATCAGACTGAATCGCTTTTGATCAGATGTCAGAAGACATAGCACCCACCGAGAAGAGACCTTCGTCATACCAAGTTCATTATACAAAATATTACCAACTCTCTCACGGATATGTTAATAGCATTGACTAATTGATTAAAGCCAATCGTCTGTAATCAATCGCAATATGGCGAATACGATCGATGTTTTCCTTGGTGGTTGTAGTTGCAGTTACAGGACACTCAGTCATCTTCAAGATTCTCCCTTTCACTCCAAAATTCAGCTGCCCACTTTTGCACTGTTGATAAAGCTGAAGCGTCATCTCCTATTGATATAGCAACTATGTCATCATGAATGTCGATGACATAAAGCGTGTCGGAGTTAACTCCTCCTTTAGTACATTAACCCTTTCACCAGGGGTCGGTCTTCGCTGCTATAAATAGCCGTGGACGACTCTTCGCCTCTATCTCTTTTTCCCTCAGGCCTGTGCACCGACACCTTGAGGTAAATCTCTCCTTTTCCTCGGGATTTCATCTATCAACCTCGAAATGTAGGCGCTAACAAGGGATAGCGTGGAAACACGCTAAGCCCAATACACACACACGCACATACAGAATATTCACACACGCACGCACATACAGAATATTCCCATATACTTCATCCTTTGTACTGTTTCCATGTATTGTAACTTGTTATTAATATATATTTGTATATACATATATTATCGGTCTTGTGTTTTGTTTGCTTTTCTTTGCCTTCTTCTTTGGACTTAATCAAAGTCCAACCTTTTCATGTAGTTGGGCTCGGCGGGCAGGAGTATCTGAACCTTACATGCGTTTCTTCTACGTCTGACTTCACAACATCACAGCCACGGCCCTCTACAAGCGCTTCTACAAATTTACTGAAGATGTCTGAGTAGACCTTCCTCCTTACCAATGGAATACAAAGCGAATGTAGTCACACCCATGTACGTAGTATAGCGTATCTTGTGAATCTGTGAACAGGTGGAACTAAAGAATCCAGCTCGTCTGAACATTTGACATGAAAACAGAGTCTAGCAAGGTTTCATCTGTGGGGAAGGGATGGTAGGAAAACAAGGCTGTGTGGACGATTTTGAACTCTGTTATGTTTAGAAAGTGAAGATTGTGCAGCTCAATCCAAGATATGTCTGAAATGCTCCATTTTGGTCTGATGCGACGCTTGTAAAGAAAGATCACACCAGGAGGAATCCGATCTTTTCTGGAGCTGTACATGGAACTGACTAAAACCAGATCCAAAGTAGTAAATTTCCAAGATGTCACACTCTATCTAAGAAGAGTTAGATATCAACCATATAGAAAACCCAAGGACGAACCAATTTACATACACAACTCTTCCAAACACCGACCAACAATAATCAAGCAGATTGCACGATGAATTAGCAATAAGAGAGGAAGAGAAAGAAAAAGAGAAAAAGAGAGAGAGAGGGAGAGAGAGAAAAAAGAGAGAGCGAGAAAAAGAGAAAGAAAGAGGGGGGAGAGAGGGAGAGAAAGAGGGAGGGAAAGAGACACAAAGAGAGAAAGAGAGAGAAAGAGAGTGAGAAAGAGAGAGAGGGAGAAAGAGAAAGAGAAAGAAATAGAAAGAGAGAGAAAAAGAGGGGACGAGACAGATAGAGAGAGAAAGAGAGGCAAAGAGAGAGCGTATATGTCGCCATGTTTCTTGTACATTGTCTTTTTTCACACAAAAACTTTCAAATGATGTTAATTCCTTGCTCGATTTTATTTTGATAGAGGACATTTGAACTTATACTAACTTAAAACTAAATATAAAATATCATACTATCAGTTCCACAACTAACTTTACCCTAACGCATATATTTAGACCATTGTTATTTATTTATTTACTTTTTCATGATTGGAAGCGAGTTTCTGGTTCCTTCTAGAGTAGGCCGCGGCTCTCTACTTTTAGCGTCTTCACCATTGATTCCGGTTTAGGAGTGGGTTTCCGGTTCCTTTTAAAGTATAGGTTAAAATCCTGCCTCGTAAATGGATTCTTCAGCATGACAATGCGTTGTGCATAATGCAATCTTTTGGTCAGATTTTAGGGAAGTGGGCCGGGTCGAGGCTATTTTTTTTAACGCCTTCTTGTATACATTAGAGAAAATCAATTTAATGTTTAGAAATCATGAAATCTCCGAAAATCTCTTCTTTGAGCGATTCGGTCTTTGTTACCAAACAGCCCCTCTTTATTAATAGCAAATTCTAACGAGCATTTTCATTGTTCAAGGTTTGCGTTTTTTGCGTGGAAAACAAATATAGCAACTATTAGTTGACTATAGAAGTAATATATAAACAAATATATATATATATATATATATATATATATATATATATATATACGAAAAGAGTAGTATACTGGATAGTTTCGCCCACCACATTTTGATTCACTGCATTAAATAACATCCAAATTCAGTGCTGACGCCGCTAAAGCCCATCAGTCAATATTCTTGTGTTCCATGTCGGCACTGGGTTCAGTACTTCAAACTCCAACGCCACTTCATAGACTGTATCAACGAAAGAAATTTTCTTTTTCTTATTCACACTATTATACAAGGCGGACAGATGTGGTAGCGCTAATTCAAGCTGAACACATGTTCAATCGTTATCTTAGCATTCCGCTACGTGCGGGTTAACCTCTCTGAGGAATCTGGGTGTGGAAATCGTGTCGACTCTTCACAATTTTTGTGATCCTAACGCTGTTTTAATCTTATATCCAAAGCTTAGACAAAAGCAATTCATCATTGTCAGAATTCCATGCCCACCGGTCATCCGGCCAGTAATTTGCTATTTTGGGCCGACTTCTGCATTCTGTAAAAAATTCCATGAAATCTGTCTTGATAGGTGGGAGAGACCATTTTATCGTCTTTATTCTGAACGTGTTTCCCGGATGCTAGTGTTTATTCCAGTAAGATAACTAAATATCGTACCCTGTGTGTGTGTGACAGGAAACTGCTTCCATCAACACTCATCTAACTTCCAGATACACAATTTTCTTACTACACCCACCAGATTTAAACCCCATTGAGCATGTATGAAAATATTTAAAATCTGTAAATCCCCTTCACCTATTACACAATAAGCCTAACGAAGTCATGAGCAGATTAGTAATGCCCTCGGAACTCTCCGATTAACAATTCCGAGTGATTATCCATTATCTAACCCGAAAATTGAGTCTGGTCAATACCTAGATGCGTAACGGCTTAGGAATAACAAGTGATGTAAACTTGGATGTGTCGATGGTGTAATGGATAAGGGCTCGGTATGTTTAATCGGAGACTTCCAATAACTATTTTATTCGTTGTATTCACTTATTCGCAAACCTTGTTAGTAAAGGTATCCATCCATCTCTTCTCTCCCCAAATATGGGTTAATTAGTAAGAATTGCTTCACTAAAGCATTATTGTCTGTCCCCACCCCAATAAAAAATTTCTTACAATCTAAGATTATTTTCTGGTATTAAATTACCTGTAAAGGGTTGATAAGGCGTAGAAAACAAATCAATTTTCGCTGTGACTCCCAATCCCTGTTATGGCAAACCATTTACACAAGCTTGTTAGGTCGGTTATCTGCTGTTTTCCTCTGTCCCTCTTGCTTTTAATATGTCCTGTAAGTGTCAAATTTTCCAAGCCCTCTTTCCTCATTATGTGCCGTGGAAATTTCAACTCTCTCTTTCTGATGTTAATTATAAGTATCCTATTTGTTTCCATTTTCTCTAAAACTTTGTCATTGCACACATGTTCAATTTATGGTATTCTCAACATCCTTCTGTAGAACCACATTCTGTTGCTTCAAGTTTTTTCATCTTTGAGGAGATTGCCCACCATTCTGTACCATATGGAAGAACAGATATTATATAACATTTCAGTATTCTTTTATTTGATTCTAGCGAAATTTGTTATTTTCTTAATCTTTTGCTTAGCTTTTGGAAGGCAACTTTCCCCATCCCAATGCACCTTCGTATTTCAGTATCAATCTTTCCGTCCTCTGTTAAAACACTTCCTAGATATTTAAATTGTACTTGATTAATTTTGGCATCTTCAATTTGTAATTTGCATGTTGTGCTGTTCCTTTTACTAACATCCATACATTCTGCTTTCTTACAATGACGGTTTAACCCTTTCTTCTTGCTTTTTTTCGTTAACTTCTGTAAATACAGTGTCATCTGCATATTGTATGTTGTTAAGATTGTGATTACCAATAAGGAGTTCTGGTAGGACTTCTAAAATCTCTCAGAATCGCCTCCCAATATAGGTTGAATAAGTCCGATAAGAAGACGCATCCTTCTCTTACACGCCTTTCTATTCATATGCATTTAATGAATTAATTTTCTAACCGTATGCAGTCAATTTGCTCCCAGCATAGGTTCTAGATTATTCTATCTTTTCCAAATAAATCAAGCTTGCCTAGCAGTTCAAACAGTTCTTTGTGACGCAATTGAAACGCTTTTGGATAATCTATAAAATCTCTGTATATTTCCTTTCGCATTTATACTTCTATTATCATACTAAGCATAAATATTACATTCCTTGTTCCAGTGTCTTTAACAAAACCAAAGTGTTCTTGTCTTGTTTTTGGTCTAATTCTGATATATCGCTCTATTGATCAAAATTTGAATGATATGTTTTGTCATGTCTCATTAGATATATTGTTCGATGGAACCCTCATTCATTTGCCATTGTTATTTTAGACAGTGCTATGAAAATTAATCTACTTATATCTTCCGGTATATCACCACTATCGTATATGTTATTTATTATATCTGTAATTCTGTCAATGCCGAAATCATCTAAAGCTATCATCATCGCTATTACAATTCCGTCTGGCCCTACTAATTTGTTTCTGTTTAATTAGGTCAGTACTAGTCTCACTTCAGACTTTAAGATGTTTGGTCTTTCCATATTTTTGTGTATTGTGTGTTTTCGTCTTTCGGCGTGGAAGAGTTTTCGTTGTACTTATTCTGTTTATTGTCATTGTTTTCTCTTTTCTGCATCCCGTTGACAAGTACGTCTTTTGTCATCTTATTTCTCTTATATTTTATGCATATCCACCCCACCCCGCTGGCTGTAAAGTCCATTTTTTTATTTCTGCTCACTTCGTTGAGCCATTGCGTCGCTAATTTTAAATCTGTACGTGAAAAAAGTATTGTAGAAAATTCAAAACATGCAACAGGATAGAAAAAGGAAAAAAAAGAACCTGCCATGTGACAAAATATCATATTTGAACTGAATAGGAAAATCGAGGAAATTTCAGTAAAAAAATTAGTGTAAGTTGTTTTGTTTGTTTTTTCTTTCTTTTTTCTTCGACCTTTTTGCTTTATTTAATACCGAATCTAAATTATTTTAACACAATTTTATGGCTCCAACTAAATATATTTTGAACGCAATTTTCTGCCTTCAACGAAATATATATTGAACCATATTGTATACTTTCAACTACAGTCATTTTACTATAAATATGTTTTGTTAGTGATATGTCCCGGAAAGGGATATATTTGTTCGAAGTAGCAAAGTGGTTGTTGACTACTGTAACTAGGTAGGACAATCTAGCAGATAACCATAATGGACTGGTCCTCGTCGTAGTGGTAGACAATAGGCGTAGTCCATGTACATCCACATCAGTCTGTATTTATGGCTGACACCAGCCAATCATATTACTGTGAGGGGGAACCCAGGTGTATGCATATTCATTACATCAGTTAGTAACTTTGCTATAGAAATATATTGTTGGTAATTTTACTACAAATATGTATTGCTGGTAATTTTTTTAATATAAAAATATACTGTTTATATTTTCATAGTATCTTGTTTTTGTTTTTGGTTCACTATTTGTCCATAGCGGGTACCCGTAACAGGTGCCACCACCCAGGGGACCTGGGAGCAACAGCAATTAAGAGGTGGTACCACACTATTCAAAACCTCCAATCTACCGATAAGAGGCCTTGCAGCCGGGTGTAGTTTATCGTCATACCCAGGGTTACTTCATGTAAGATGGTTAAATAATAAATAGCTGTGGTCTGTTATTCAAGTTAGGAGCAAGAGAGGTTTGAAACAAACTAAATTTTGACCTGTAGTGATCCAAATAGGTACTTGGTTAACTCCAAGAGATACCAAGTTTTGTACTCGGCATCACTACAGAACGTCAAAGGACCTAGAATTGGTGAATTTTGACCTATTAGTTTATCTCAAAGCCACTAAGACCTGAATCGGGACAAATGGTGCCGGTAGGTTCGTCACTATACACCAGAACGTCACTCCAACTGAACTTTGGATATACAACACCTGATAACCGGATAACAGGTTATATAAACGCTCGAATTACGAAATAGGGGCAGAGAAAATCTCACGAATTTATAAAGAAGATTAACGAAGATCTAAAGAAAGGCTAGAACCCACATAATTCGGAGACTTTAACTTCAGAAGTAAATAAACAATTATTTTCTATATGAAAAATTTACTATCGTATTTTTATCAGTGGTTACGAACATAAATGACATAAATAGTTTACCTTTTCTGCTTCATTTTCAAGCTAAAAAGCAGCTATTTTGATTTAATTATTTGTTTTTACGGTTTATCAACCTTTTGCAGGTTATCTATAGTCAGAAAATATTTTTAGATTATAAGCATTTTCTTTTAGTTAATGATGATATAGTGATACTAATTAACCCATAGTTGGGAGAAGAAGAGATAGATTCATTCCTTTCCCAAGGGTATTTGCACGAAGGGGAATTTAATGAACCCGACGGGAATCGGAGCTCAGCTCTCTGATTGAAACAGTTATCCATGACATCACTCGCACATCCAAGCTTACAACACCTGGTATTCCCAACCGGTCACCCACCTAGATACTGACCCGGCTTGATGTTGCTTAACTTCGTTGATCGTACGGGAACCGGTGTTTCTACGAGATATGACCGTAAGTTATTTCTACTGACACATCCAAGCTTAGAGCAACTGGTATTTCCAAGCGGTCACCCATCTAGGTACTGATTAAGTAGGAAGTTGCTTAACTTCGGTGATCCTACAAGAACTGGTGATATGGCCATAAGCCCGCTATCTAGAGAATAGACGGCAGTTTTTCGGTGAGAGTTTAATATTTTATCTAATAAAATATGATGGATTGTTCGTTTAATTTGTTGTTGAATTATTTTTAAGATCAATCTCAAGAGAGGCATAGAATCAATGATTTCTCAGCAAAAATCCTAGCTCGACTTATAGACGAATAAATAAGCTAATTGATTGTTGGTCTGCAAATAAATATTATTTTGAATTTTTTTTTTAATCTTTGCTTCGTTTCATCGATTTTTCATCAATCGATTAACCCACATGTTTTTCCGACTCGAATATAAACGTGAAATAAATAAATAAAATATATTACCTTTTTTTTTAATTAGAAAAAAATTTAAAACAAACAAATCCATAACGATTAAGAGAATCGGTCGTTGTTCGGAATCTTGAAGCACTTGACTTTGAAGACTTTCATGTGAAGAGGCGTTAAAAAGAAAGAAAGAACAGAAAAAAGAAAAGAAAAGAAAGAAAATATGTGACAAGCGAAAAGTGGTAGATAAATGCATAGATACTAATGTGAAGATCGTGAAAGAAAGAAAGAATAGAAAAAAGAGGCAGAAAGTATGAAAGACTAGAAAAGGAAAAAATACAGAAAAAGAAAAGAAAAGGGAAGGAATAAAAAGAATAAAAAAACAGAAAAAGATAAGAAAAGGGAAGGAATAAAAGAATAAAAAAGAATGAAAGAATAGAATAAAAACAACAGAAAAGGATAAGAAAAGGGAAGGAATAAAAGAATAAAAAAGAATGCAAGAATAGAATAAAAAAACAGAAAAAGATAAGAAAAGGGAAGGAATAAAAGAATAAAAAAGAATGAAAGAATAGAATAATAAAAAAAAAGAGTAAAAGAAAAAAAAGAATGAAAGAATGAAAGAAAAAAGAATAAAAAAGAATGAAAAATAGTATAAAAAAAGAAAAGGATAAGAAATAAAAAAAGATTTGCAAGAATAAGAAAAAAAGATAAGAAAAGAAAAAAGAAAAAAAAATGAAAGAAGAATAAAAAAACAAAAAGAAACACAGAAAAAAAGAAAGAAAAAAAAAGTAAGAAGAAAAAAAAGAAAAATGGAAGAAAAAAGAAAGAAAAAAGAAAGAAAAAAGAAAGAAAATCCGAACAAATAAAAGAAAGAAGAAAACGAAAGAAAGAAAAAAGAAAGAAAAATGTAAGAAAGAAAATGACAAAGATAGAAGATTCTAGTGCTACCGTGGGATCAAATACAGACACCATAGAAAAACGAACGAGCAAGAGATAAATATATAAACAGCGAGAGTAAGTGAGTGAGTGAGAGATAGATAGATAGATAGATAGAGAGAGAGAAAAGAAAATAAAGATGGAAAGAGTGGCTGTGTACGAGGCTGTAAGAAAGATTACATGAAAGGGAGTAAAAATAAAAAAGGGAAAGATCAAAGTAAATAAAGAGGAGAACATAAACGAAGATTAGAAAAAGAAGGAAGCGAAAATATCAAGTGATGGAGAAACGGAGGCGAAAACGAGATTTTTTTTTTCTTTTATGCCAGAAAGCATGAATTCTTTCTAGACAGAAAGATTGAGAATAAAGATGGCGGTGGCGGTAGTAGTAGTGGGGGATGGTGACGGCGGTGGCAGCGGTGGTGTCGGTGGAGTGTTCCCAGCGGTGAATCAACATTATTCATATTATCCTCATTTGAAAAATTTCAAAATAAATGTCTCAAATTATCATCTACACAACATTCCGAAATTATATGAACGTCGTGAAAATGACTTCTTTCTTGTAAAATGAAGTGTTTGGCTTTCAGAATATTAAATTGAACTGCAAACATATTTCAATGATGTTTCATTATTTCATGATTAATAGTCAAACATGCTGGTAGCGTAAGGTTATCAGGGCAGAAGCGGAAATGGTTAGCCGACTCTAACTTCCGGACTAATCTGTTTGTTTTTTAAATTTCACCCATTGGTGTCTGAGAACCACATTATTTACATTATTCGAACTATTGTCCTCATATTTGTTGCCATATTTATTACAACGTTTCGGCCGTTCTACGCAACGGCCTTCTTCAGGTGGTTGGAATGTGGAACTGAACCCTTTATTTCGCTCACTGTTCTAGTTCCACGTGTCATGTTTAATGGATGTCAGTTATCAGTTATCTCCTGTTAATTTCCCTCTGAAAGTTCTCCACTGCCTTTACCGGGTATTGAACTCACACTCTTTGGGTCATGTCACTGGATCTAACCAACGCCTTTATCCACTGTGGTTCAGTTTGACATTCCAACCACCTGAAGAAGGCTAGGGCGTACAACGGCCGAAACGTTGTGATAAATATGGCGACAAAGATGAGGACAATAGTCCGAATAATGTAAAAAATGTACATAATACCTCATCTCAGAAATATAGACAGATACTGAAAGGCCGAAATGTTGTAATAAATATGGCGACAAAGATGAGGACAATAGTCCAAATAATGTAAATAGTCTACATAATACCTCATCTGAGAAATATAGACAGAGTTTGAGAACGACATAATGCAAAAGGAGGGGGAGGGACTATGGGGATAAGGGGTGACAAATGCCGACTAACACTTGAATTAAAGATGTTAACATTATAGTGTTCAGGGAAGTATCTACGCGGGAGCCTCTTCCACAAAATAACAGTTCTTGTTAAAAAAACAAGAAAATCTGGGCAGAACTTTCTCCTTACAGTTAGAATACGGAGAAAATGATGTTGGCACGACCCCGTTTGCATAGCATGGCGTGTCCTCGCCGGAAAGGTCTGAACTGGTGGAACTAAAGAACAAAACTGAGTTCAACATTCTTTGCATTCACTTTCACACTAATGCTCTTGGAAACGGCATCAATCACTTCTCATGTGGATTAAATAGCAAGGTAGACTGTGATATCTAACCTTGGTTGGTAGTTAGTCTAGAAGAAAACTCTGAATTCAAAACCGCGTAAAGAATAAGAGGAAAGGAATTCACTCTGTTTCCTTAGAAACCATGGTATTCAGAGATAATTAAGGAAAGTTGTTATGAGCCATGATCGCCTATGTCATCAATTGACATAGCGTTTTTAAAACATCATCAAATTAGATCCAATGTGCAATTAAAGCACACTTCTATAAAGATATTTGTAAATTTTGTGCTTTTCTAACTCTGAAGGTCCCTTGAAAAGATTATCTTAAAATTCCTAGATGTTCTGTTTCAGAAGAAAATCCTTTCTCATTCTGACTTGATTGTAGCATTGATACGCCAAGATTCCTCCAGATGCTCATTTTTAGTAATGTTCACCCAATATAAGACCCAAACGCCATTCAAGCTAGAGTTAGAGAAGTATGTTTGTGATATGAACGCATGACATGAAAGTAGGAAGTGAAGATTACGAAGATATGGCGGATGGATAGCGACTGACCCCCCCCCCCCGAGATTTGAAGATTGTAGTGTTCGGGGAAGTAGCCACACTGGAGTCAAACAGATTTTCTGAGTTGAACATCCTTCTTACTAATAGAATGCGTATTAGGGAATTAGGATGATTCAACCCTGTGGATATAACAAAGTTTAGGTGATATTATTTAAGGAAAACTATATTTACTAATCAAAAATTGGAAAGCTTAATAGAAATCATCATACAACAATATTTTTTAAAAGAATTTTGATTCTCTATACGGTCGACCATACACGACATTATCAGAAAATAAGAACGATAGCTATAGAAAATTTACAGCCAAAAGTATTTACAAAAGTATTTAAAATTCAATAAAGCATTACATTACAGAGAATATTTTCTTAAATTTTTAAGATTACTTAGGACTTAAAAGTTATCTATTAAAAAGGCGCTCATGTTAATTCAATTTTTAACGCCTAGCCTCTCCCATAGGACAATATTAGATAAATATTAGTCTGTTAACAAGCTTTCAAAACCTCAAACGCCTTAAATAAACTGCTACCGTCGAGTTAAAAATGCATTTTTGCGATATTTTAAAATTAAAGTAAATAATATTTGTTTCAAATCTGATTAATTATGTTTTAAATCAGCTAATCTTCCTCAAATAAAGTTTCAGAAAAGTATATTTAAATTTTGAAAGACTTTTTAATAAAGAGAATTACATTGTGATGAAATACGACTAAAAAGGGTGTCAATCGGTTATTTTAGCCAAAACACAAACAATAAAACTACGTCCACTTAATTTAAATTAGTTTTTGAAATGCAACAAAATACTTTGCTTTCTAGAAATATTATATTTAATCTATTAGGTTGAAATTAAAACTAAAATAAAAGCAACAAAGAGTTAATTTTTAAAAAATTCATTTTAATCATTAGGTAGAGTTTTTTTTTAGTTACCTAAATTAATGTTTCAATTAAACTTACAGAGTTAAGTAAATATATAAGGTATAAAAATCACGCGATGTGGCCACCATCGGCGGTCACCACTGTCTCCAGGTGGGAATGGAAGCTGACGCAGGCCTTAGCGACGACTTCCCTGTCCGTGTTGACCATGGCGTCCCTGATAATTGTCTTGACATCCTCATTGGTGTTATAGGGCCTGCTGTTCACCTCCCCTAAGATGCACCCACAAAAAATAGCCAGGAAGATTGAAGTCTGGCGATGAGGGTACCATTAGTCAGGCAACCATTAGTATGGGGACCAAGTTTCACCTCTTGAGTCCATAAAAATTATAATTTCAAGTCCCTGTTGACACTACGCCCGATTATTCGCCTGCCGGTGCCCACTTCTTTGGTGATTTTCCTAATGATTTTTGCTGGGTTTCCCCTTGATAAACTGGTGGCATCAAAGCGCTTCTTATGAATCTTGCGATCTGGCCTGAAATTAACCTTGTCGTCTAAGGCTTCACATGACTTTGCAAGGTTCAGTTTCATGTTGTTGGAAAAGGACCTTAGCATCTTGGTGCTCGTGTGTTTGAGGTTGCTAGATCAGGGCTGATGATGGTTGCCTTGTGAGCTTCCTTGGTGTTGTAGGGCCTGCTGTTTACCTCTCTCTCCAAGATGCCCCACACAAAATAATCGAGACGATTGCCATCTCGCAATGAGGAGGACTATAAGTTGGTTTACCAGTGGTATAGCACATTAGTGAAGAGCCAGACTTGGTTGGTCCTGGCTTTGTGGGTGCGGGAGTCCTATTGAAAGACATAGGGCCTCTCCTTAGCCACCCTGTTGATCCAGGGCTTGATGTGCTTCTCCACGAGCCTCATGTAATTGTTGGCACAACAGGGAGACCATTGGGGATGAAAACAGTTTCCATGATGTCCCACTCATTGCTAATGATGCAAATACCATGACACGGGCTGAATAATTCAAGTGTATGATGATGTGCACATTGTCAGGGCCTTAGCTAACCACCTGTCAGTCTGTCAGTTCAGTTTCATGTCCTGATTGTTGGAAAAGGACCTTGGTGCTTGTGTGCTTGAGGTTGCTAGATCAGGGCTGATGTCTTCAGCTTTCTCCACACTTTCTGTGCTTCCATGAGCAAGTGACACTGCTTGAGCACAGATGATTTATAATTTAAGGTTTCCTTAACAATATGCCTGATTATTTGCCTGCTGGTGCCCATTTCCTTGGTGATTTTCCTCATGATTTTTGCTGGGGTTCTCCTTGACAACCTCAGCAACATCGGTGATGAACTCACATGTCCTGGTGTCACCAGAGAGCTACTTATCAGTTTTGCATTCTAGCCTGAAATTGTTCTTGTTATCTGTTGCCCTATGGTTTTAGGGTATTTAAATCATTCATTGATTTCCTTGGCTTTGTGGCCAGCATGAAGGCTCACCACAACAGGAGCTTGACGATTGTATTCTGAAGACGTATTGATTACTAAGCACATCATTTTGTCTTTCGTTCAGTCCTTTTCTTATGATTAAACACCTGACTGATTTTGAGCGCGAAGTTATCGTACTTTTCAAAGAACATCCGACATAGCGATTGATGAAATGTACAGAAATTCTTCCTGAATTTTGGCCAGACAGCTACTTTTTATTGACACTCTCGAAACATAGCGACGTTGTCACGTCACGTCGCTGTTGCCACGTAAAAATTTCGGATATATCTACGCCATACTGTATATTTCTAATGATCTGAGAATGTTACTGGGCAAATCGTTAATATGAAGCAGAAAGAGGATTAAACAAAGGAGAGAGACTTGTGGAAAGTTTGTCTTCATCTTTTGGGTCACAGATGACTATTAATGACCTCCATGAACCTACCTGAACGGGAGAACTTGATAATGGCGACGAATCTCCCATAGATACCATAGTTGGAGAGTTTGTTAAAAAAATTTTTTCAAAAATTTACGAAATTCTATTGAGGAACCATGAAAATTATCGCCTCTGACAAAACAATCTAGTTTGGTTTGCTTAAATCCTTATGGGTCATTTAATGTCGAAATTAAATTTTCTTAAGAGCTTTTGTAATTTATTTTTTCTAAAATGTATTGCTGGCAATTTTACTCTTCTTTTTCCAATATTGTATTGCTGGTATTTTTTTTTTTACTTTGAAAACGTAAACCTGGTATTCTTACTAAAAATGGATTTTTATACTTTCAAATTGTTTTGACCACAGTTTGAGGTGCACTATTTTCCCATAGTTGGGACCCTAAATGGTGCTATCATTCCAGGTCAGGGTGGATCGGGTAACAGCAGCAATTAAGAGGTAGTTCAATGCGCCTCAAAACCTCCCAATCAGAGCCCCTACTGTCGGATGTAGTTTATCGTCGTACCGAGGTCGACAGATAAACGAACTGGCTAGAAAATGAACATTTCTGGGGTGGAGTAGGTGATGGATTTTAAAAAATGTTATTGTGGAAGGTCCATCAAAATGCGCCTTGAAAATTCACAAAATTCAAATTCAGATGCAGAAAGTATCGAATTCTTTCATTTACGACATCTTAACTAGTAATATACAAACAACACAAAGAAGCGAGATGTCAGTTGGTAGTGCCGATCCTTACAGAGCACCCTGATCTGCAGAATATAGTCTGAGGTGACGAAATAGGCTTACTCGTGTTAAGACTGGCCACCATTGATTTCTTAATGATTTATAACAAGAGATAGAGAAAAAGGTTTCCGCGTTGGTTGAGGATTTGGGGTAACTATACTAGCAGTAGGCTACGCTATTTCGTTATTGTTAATAGAATTTGAACAAAAGTCAGTTACCAAGAGATAATAGAACACAGGTCACTCCCAAAGCGACGAATAACTAAAGGAAAAAAGTCGGATTTTTCAGCAATCGATGTGAGTTGCCATTTTTCAAAGACAACTGTTTCGTATATCATTGACCACTGTTCATCTGTAATGAAGGGGTCTGCATTATCTCCAGATCTCAAAGAAAATGCCTGGGGAATAATGCTAGCAATCCCCAATATTATACTCTTGAGGGGATGAAGCAGCCTCTGATGGATACATGAGAGAATACATCTCAATCTATGTTCTCTAAATTGGCAAACTCGGTGACGGAACATGCTATTTAGGTTTTGAAGACAAAAATTGCAAACTTCAAGTATTAACGTTGTCAATCCTTTGCTTTTATAAAGGTTGTACTTTTGAACTCGACACGCCGATTCCGCTTTCTGCTCCGATGACCCTAACCCTAACCCACACATCATTATAGAAAACATTTGTGATTCGATTTCTAGTCGTCATATTATTCCTATTTCTGTTACTGTGATTCTATCAACATTTACAATGGCCCTAGACTTTACAATTCTTTTCATTAATAATTATTATTATTAATTTCACTGTCACAAACATTTAACCACTTAACAATAAATAAGTCAAGGCCATCCTTTAGTTATTGATAAACCTACGTTTTTTGCTTCACAAAATATTTGAAAGTAGACAAATATTTGTCTTACAGAAATACAGGGTTCCTAGTAATAAAAAAAAAACTGGTGAATGTATTGTCATTGGTTTATCTTTCAGGAATAACTGACCTTGAATAACCTTGAATAAATTTCCTGAATATCCATGTCCTTGAATAACCTTGAATAAATTTCCTGAATATCCATGTCCTTGAATAATTATTGGCTCTCACGTAATTACTTAACTCCGATTATTTTTTATGATTGATTAATTGCTGCTCGATCTTGTGACCCGGCATTTCAAGGTTATTTGCAAAGAACTTTCGTCTTTCGTTCTGCTCTTCTCATATGGTGAACTCTCCGATTTTGAGCGTCAAGTTACTGTACATTTCAAAGAAGATCACCCGACACAGGGATTGACAAATTGTGCAGGAATTCTTGCTGAATTTTTCAGTCATATCAGTTGTCACCAGTTTTCAGCGGTTGTCTCAAGTCTTTCTGAATTTACCCCTGAATTTATCCGCACCCTGTATTTTCTTTACTCTTGTAGAGTAGAAATGGAAGGTCACATTAGTTAATGGGGAAATTCCACTGGCAGATACTGGAAGACATACGTTACTTCCTCTAGTGTTATATAAACAGATGAGTGGCCAGGGGTCAATGGTATTTTTGTATTTGTATTGGTATCTCGTTGCTACGAGAATAAAGTCATTCAGAATTACTACAACCATTTACGTTGTGGTTATTTTACAATTCTAACTAATGACAATAAAAAATGAGTAACATATTTTCAGGTATAGTTTCTTCGTCTTCACCCCAACATCGAATATTGCTGTCAAACCTCTTCAGGTGCTTTTGCTATATATCTCGAGAGTCTTGACAAAATCCAAAGAAGAATCTGCAATGAAATCGGTTCTGACCCGGCATCTTGGTTTCAGCCACTTTCTCACCGCCGTAGAGTACCTTTCTCGTACCTTTTTTATAAATATATCTTTAATCATTTCGCCCCATGCAAGGAAGTAAAGCCACTAAAACACAAGGGGTTACTGAGTGTAAAAGAATAAGAAAAAAAGAGAAACATTATTAAGGAGAGAGAACAATAGAAGAGTAATCAAGAAGACAGTAGATAGCGATTGACATTGCATTTAAATTTCTGAAGATCAAAGTTGGCTGTAAAGCATAGAACCGGAAGAGAGTTTCAGAAGCGAAAAGTGCAAGAGAAGAAACTGTTAGCATAGAACTTACAGTTATATCTATACCAGTTCATCCGTAAATTGGTGAGACCTTATTACCAATCTACTACTACACTTAAATTTACTTAAAGTCTAGGTACCATAGCGAAGAGTTCATCAGAACAATTATAATGAAAGTATTTACACTATTTATATTATTCGGATTATTATCCTTATCTTTGTCGCCATATTTATTATAACGTTTCTGCCGTTGTACGCTCCGGCCTTCTTCAAGTGGTTGGAATGTCGAACCGAACCCTTTATTTCGTTCACTGGGGTAGACTGTTCTAGTTCCACGTGTCATGTTTTAATGGATGTCAGTTACAAGTTATCTCCTGTTAATGCCTCTCTGATAGTTCTCCACTACCTTAACCAGGTATTGAAACACTATCGCTGGATATAACCAACGCCTTTATCCACTGTAACATGCGTCCTTGACAGGACCCAAAGAGTGTGAGTTCAATACCCGGTTAAGGTTAATCGTATCTATTAAGAAATATGTATTAAGTACCTTTTGTTTTTTGCACAGACTACTTCATTCAGAATTTGAACTCGATTCTCTCAGTTTACGTATAAGGTCACCGATAAAATGATTTTTATTGAGCGCGCGCAAAAAGAGAGAGGGAGGAATAGAGAAGAAGAGAGAGGAAGAGAGAGATAAAGAGAAAGAAAGAGAGTGGTAGAGAAAGAGAAAACAAGAAATAGAGAGTGAGAGAAAGAATTAAAGTGAGAAAGAGAAAGAGAGAGAAAAGAGAAAAAGATAGCGAGAGAGAAAGAGAAAAGGAGAAAGAGTGTGAGAGAAAGAAAGAAAGTGAGAAAGAGAAAGGAAGAGAGAGAAAGTGCAAAAGATAGAGAGAGAGAAAGAGAAAACGAGGAAGAGAGAGTTAGAGAAAGAAAGAAAGTGAGAAAGAGAGAGAGAAAGAGAAAAAGATAGTGATAGAGAAAGAGAAAAGGAGAAAGACTGTGAGAGAAAGAATTAAAGTGAGAAAGAGAAAGAGAGAGAGAGAAAGATAACGATAGAGAAAGAGAAAACGAGGAAGAGAGAGTGAGAGAAAAAAAGAAAGTGAGAGAGAGAAAGAGAGAGAGAGAAAGACAGGGAAAGTGAGAGTAAAAGTTTGAAAGCCAGAGTGTAGGCTAAAAAGGTGAAGTTAGTGTGAAAATATACGTAAATGTATATAAATATATAAGATAGACCCTGGAGACAAAAATTCTCTTGCTATTTTTCTGATGAGCTTTCCTCTTTGTTACCTGGACCTCATAAATTTAAGGATATGACTAAACTGACTGTAACCATTCTAATCTAATAGCTTCTTCCCCTCGCACTTCTCGCCTGTGAAACTCACTTCCGGTTTCTTACCATCCTGTAAACTATGTTCTTCAAAACTGAATCACAACGCCAATCGCAATGTTCTGTCTTTTTGAATCCTGTTCTTTTACTGTTTTCTTTTTCTCTTCACTATCTCTTACTAATTTTCTTTTACACTCAGTAAATTTCCGCCTTCATAGTGGCTTTATCGCCTTGCTTGAGGATAAATTATAAAAAAGAAAAAGAAGTTGATTTTTTTTTCTTTTCGGCATTCAATTTGTTAATCAATGTCGTATTTATCATTTTCTTCGTCTCCATTTCGCCACCTTTCAGGCAAATTAACAATTCCTTCCTTCGACTAAAATGTCGAGATGATTTTTTTCAGTTTTTCCAACTAATTAGATTTTCATTAGGAATATTCTACAAAGACCGGAATACATTGGAATCTGAAAGGACAATATCTCCACAAAATAACATTTTCTGGCTGCTTCCAAAGAAAAAAATATTTACAGTGTCATCCGGATTTATTCAGCCTTTCTCAATTAATTCCGAGCGCTGTTTTTAGTTTGTTTGTTTCGAATACTTATTCAAAGCATTTGTCAATATTTCTGAGATGAGGTATTACGTACACTATTTACATTATTCGGACTTCATCAGGTGGTTGGAATGTCGTACTGAACCCATTATTTCGCTCACTAGGGTAGACTGTTCTAGTTCCACGTTTAATGGACGTCAGTTATCCCCTGCTAATTCCCCTCTGAAAGTTATCCACTGCCTTAACCGAGTATTGAACTCACACTGTTACTGGATCTAACCAATACCTTTATCCACTGTGCCATGTGTCCTTGAATTTTTGGGTATTATAAACTAATGTCTCAGCCGACCAAGCAGAGAAATGAATACAACATGGGAACCAGTAATAAGGAGTGCCAGAGAAAAAGCGATAATAACAATAATAATTGCAATATGAGCACTAGTAAAAAAATGCTTACTGAGACATTCGAAGTTGGGGGTAAAAGAAAAACTGATCATAAATACTCCAGTAAAGAAGAAATATATGCTGAAAATTTTACTTATTTTCTTCCATCTTCAAATGTTGGAATCGATAAAAAATATTTTCATTTTGAAATTGTTTATTAAAAAATAAATGTTAGTTGGTTGTATTTGTATTTGTTTAGCCGAATATTAACCTCTGTCAGTGTTTCTCAACCTTTTTAAGTAATGGCACACCTAAGAGCAAATGAAAATATCACAACACACTTAGCAAAATTTTTAAAGGCTATACATTTAATGTTATGAAATAAAAACCATAGATTAAAAAAATACACGCCCCAAATGTGAACTTAGTTTATTTCTATGTTTCTATTTAACTATTTGTGTAGCTTATTTAGTATGAAACCTGTGCCTGGTGATTTTTTGTGATTTCTTCAAAGTTTGGTCGAAAGTGCGATAAGCAGACCCTCATTTCTTCTTCATTTGAGTATAGTCTTTCTCGCTTCTTATTTTTGATGTTATTTAGGGTTGAGAAGCCTAATTCACATAAATAAGAAGTAAAACTGATAAAGCCTTTTTAGCTAATATGGGAGATTCCTTTTGTATTGAAATCCAAAATGTATTAATGGGGGATAAGCAGACCGTCATTTCATCTTCAGTTGAGCATAGTCTTTCTTGCTTCTTATTTTTGATGTTATTTAAGGCTGAGCATCCTAATTCACATAAATAAGAAGTAGAAAATTGCAATAAAACTGATAAAGTCTTTTTAGCTAATGAAGGATATTCCTTTTGTATTGAAATCCAAAATACATCAATGGGTACCGTCGAGTCTTTTATTTTGAATCCTCGATCACTAGAAATTCTTCTTCACTTAACTGAATATTAATCAATATTAGACGAACATGAAGAGATTTTGAATCTAATCATACTCAAGAGCACACTAGTGTGCCGCGGCACGGCGGTTGTGAATAACTGATCTATGTGTTATTTAATAGCGAAATATAAATATTTTGTACGCAGTTTTATTTTAATTTTTGGAGATAACAAAAATTTTAATGATTACTAATTAATCCATAGCTGGGGAGAACACGTATTTTTTCTAAGGGTATTTGCACGAGATATTATCCCGCACATCGAAGCTTGCAGCAGCTGGTATTCACAAGAGGTCACCACTCTAGGTACGGACCAAACTTGACGTTACTTAACTTCGATGCTCGTACGGGAACTAGTGTTTCGATTTGATGTGGCCTTAAGTCTGAAAAAATGTAGATATGACAGTTGTAACAGTGAGAATAAAATCGATCTTATTAATGAAGTTTCAAGACTAAATACTCTTAATGTTATGGCAAAAATAGAATTGATTTATTGGCCAGTATATTCTATGATTTTCTCTTCTTTAATTAATCAAATGAATTATCCGTAGGTCCTTGTGTCCTGACAAAAATAGACGATTTTAGATCTTTCTGTGATATATTTTCTCGATAGTAGCAGCCAACATTAGAGTAGGCTCACTTTACTAGACACCAACAGATATATTCATTCTTCACTCTATGCGCTTAGAAAAATGCCAATTTGCTAGATTAATTTCAGCTTTTGGAGTAAAATTCTTGCGAACTTTGCCAAAATGAAAAAGATACTAATTTGAAAACTTTACATCTGATGTTCCGGAAATAGAAGGAACTTCTGCCGTTGTAGTAAAGAGCTTCTCGAAGACAACGGGGCGAATTTTATTACATAATCATATTAACTCTTGCGACAGCAGAAGGATGATCATTATAATCGATAATTATATCACATTATGGCTGACTGATAATGGCTACTGTGGCTTTTCATATTGGCTGGTTAACAATTACAGACAAAAGGAGAATCTCATATTCTCTCCTTTCGTCTCTTCACTTGCCAAATTGGATGAGTACGAGGGAAAATGTTCATAGCAAGAATTGGCGATAAGGCACCGGAAAGATCGCAGTATATGAACAGTTGTAGATTATTACGATTTAATTTGATATCCTCTTTGACTCTTAGATGTTTCAGCCGGGTGATGATGGTCATATCTCAGCACCTACCCACAGAGACGCACAATAATTTCCTCAAGACACGATCTGTGGTAGCGCTGCCACCTACGCGCTCCCAATAATGCCATGCATCTCGAAGGCATCTTGCATGATACTTGGAAATATTCCAGAGTGCGCCAATCAAAACGAAACGACTTCAGATGCTGCTTGGTATATTTCTGTGTGTTACTCCACTTGGCTTTGCCAGAAATGGCCGTTAGGTGGCGTTATTTAAGTTTATAAAAAAGTAAGCATCTCTCTCTCTCTCTCTCTCTTTCTTTCTTTCTCTCTCTCTTTTCTTTTTTTTCTCTTGCTTTCAGTTATAGTTGCACGTGGGTAAAGTTTGCCCCAATTAGGGATCGTTTATTTTCGTGCTACTCTTTGACTTTTGAACTCTCTCCCACCTGCATATGCGCACACGTGTACCGCACACACTTGTTTCACACACACACACACACACACACACACACACACACACACACACACACACACACACACACATTACATGCACATCGTTACAGCTAGTTTCAATATACTTTCCTTTGATTTCAATTGTGTACACATGCAATTACTTTTGTTAATACATGCATATAATTGTTTTGTGTCTTTATTTTACCCGGACTCACATGAGTTCGCCCATATTGTTTGAGGGACAAATGTTCCAGGAGACATAAATATTTGCTATGCAATATACACACACTCGTATCAAAAGTGTAGACTCCCGCAACATTTCCACGATTTGCAGTAAGAGTGTCTTATACCTCTGTATTTTTTCTTGCGCCGATTTCACGATGTTCTTATCCCATGTTACCTCTATCAGGATATGTCCATGTCTGTTCTTGTGTACAAGTGTGATATCAGGGCGATTTCTCTCTAAGCGCTTGTCGATCCAGTCCCATCTCAAATGATCTTCACTTAATTATTCTCTTCTACTGAGAGAGGTGATTGCTCGTACCACTTCTAGGTGCACTTGAGGTCATACATCTTGCATAGGTCCCCATTGTGTTCCCTATTGTGTTCTGTGCCCTACTTTTTCGTGGTATCATCTGTACTCTTTTATGTGTTGTGACCAAGTAAATGATTAAAGAAATAACAAGTCTTGCAGATATATCATATATTAAACAGTAAGTACAACAGAAGAGTATTACACGACTAGTGGGTGTATGTCGGTAGACCCAGCGTTCAATCTATTCGACTGTTAATATTTAACAGCCCCCCCCCACGAGGGATGTATGTCGCACAAAGCCGAGTTTACCGGGGGTTCTCCGAGCCCGTAGGCTCGGCCAAAATATTCCCTTAGAATCCGTATAAACGGGTCCAGGGCCTGTCTACCTACACGGACGAAACTTTGCTCTGTGGCAAAGCCTCGTCCGGGTTCCTCTCTGCTCGAGGCAGAGAGTTCGACAGTTGAACAATCTATGCGTCTGTTCCCCCAAGGCCTTCTTTCCTACTAATCTTATAGTAGGCGGAAGAGTCTGTCACAGACTCTTTAGAGGAAGGACACCACAATATGTTCCCCTCCATGTATCGACTTTTTCATCATAAATTCTCTTCCTATAATCTGCAAACTATAATCCCATTATAATTTGGGCTTTTCCCTTTTTTTGTTAGTTTTCACGACCGTTACCCGCTGTCAATATCTCATAAATAATCGATTTTCCGTTTTAAGCGTGTGAAAAGAGGGGAAAAGAAACTTGTTTCATTGAGAAAATGTATGAAAGAAAGAAGGAAAGATAGAAGTATTCAACGTTTCCTGCCAAATGGGTTATTCTGTTTTGATT